GGATTTTCTGGGAGCGGCCGGCCTGCGCAAGCCCGCGCCCCCCTTCCCGGCACATGTTTTTCACGGGTTGGCTCGGCTTTCTAATGGGACCACTCCAAAGTACACGAGGCATCCCTTTAAAACCCCCCAAACAAAAAGCGGGCACCAGTTGAGAAACCTGGCCACCATAAAGCTCCAACTGCCTGGTTATGCCTGGCGTGGAAAAGGGGCCTATGGCCTTCCGCCTTCCTTGAGCTCAAAAGACCTCAACCCAGACCCCCCCCCCCGTCCCCCCCGTGGATGTTCGCGGAGACAAGAACTTGCATTTTTTCTGTGTGCGCTTGGCAGCTGATCTCAAAGGGAGACCTGCCCCAAAGAAAACATGGGCACCACGGGGTGTTCGGGTCGAGAGGATGCCTTTCAAACCGCTCGCCGGAAAGAACCTGCTTCGGGGCTCCCCAATGACTCAGCCCGTGGTTTATTCATCTTGGCCTCACACTACTCTCCCTTCAAAGCTGCTTGAATGCAAAGCAAAGCAGCTGGATTGCCGAAACGAGGCAAAGCAACCCACGCAGATTGTCCGACAAGGGCAGACTCCAGGAAAGGCTGGCCCGCTTGCATGGACGCACTTGCCTGAAGGAAGGCACAAGCCTGCAGTTTGCAGCATGGCTTTTGTGCAAGTGCTCACGGAGATATGCAACGCGCAAGCTCCATTGACTCTTGATGTCCCCAAGTTGATCTGCAACTTGGAGGTGGCTGGAGTTCCCAAAAAAAGGCAGGTTCAACTACAAACCCTCTGCGGATGGATTCGGCACCCAGAAGCACCCACTTAGACTCCCAAACCCTTCAGCCACCAAACCAAACTTCCTACCGAAATATCCTGGCAGGCTGGCAGGCTGGCCGTTTTCTCGAACAGCACTGCTGACTGTTGGAGCGTCCACTTGACGACTCCCGAGAGGTTGCGCGTCCATTCACGCTGCTCCTTGCCCCAAATGGACGTGTTGGCTTAGGGAGTTTAAGAATGACGAACCCCAACTTGGCTGCTTGCGTTCGAACTTGTGCTTGTTCACAAAAAGAGTTGTTTCAGCCAACTGACTAAAATCTGTTGGTTTGCCTTGACTGAAATGGTGAAGAAACCGACAAGAAAAAGGTTTGTTCAGCGTGAGCACTCCAGTGGTGTTACTATGTCTTGTCAAAACGTGGGGGGGTCACCGAAAATGGGTGGCTTCCCTTCAAATCAACACCAAAACCTTTGGCACCATCCCCCAAAAACGTGACACGCCCATGTAGGACAAGGCCACTTCCGCAAGACCGTCAAGTTCCTTGGCTCACGGATTTCCGCCAACTGACCCCTCTACCGTATCCACCTCGGTCTTTGGCATTCTCTCCAAAGTGATCCGGTGCCCCGCTGAAATGAAACACCCCCTATTAATCAGTGCTATTCCTGGGGCTGCCATTGCCAACCAAGGACTAAAGATTAAAGATGTTGTAATTGACTTGTGGCATATTACAGGGTGTCCGACTTGCTCCCAACTACTTGCCATATGGAATGGATCAAAATTAAACCACAGGGATGCAGGTTTTAGCCCCTGTTCCCCTTTGCCAGGGTTCCATTTTGAGCTCCTGTTTTTGTCCCACTGGCATCCGCGGTACCCGCCTTGCAACTGACATAGGGCTACAAGCACGATGGTATCAGTGGAACACCAAGGTTCACGCGCCTGAACTGTCTGATCCACACTACTGAGAACCAGGCTAGTATGGCACCAAGCCAGTCTTTTCAATCCGGTTACACACAAAACACCACGCACAGCGAGAGAGAGAGAGAGAGAATAAAAAATACGCACTTGTACACTCTTCAGCAACGGCAGTCTCGCTCTATATGTGGCTGCATCTTCACATATCCCAGCATGGCAACATCCCCTATGTACACTTCTTAATATATATATATATACAAGGGCTTTCATGGGAAAACCCCCCAAGGAAGCAAGGGTGTCTGTTGGTGCGCGGGCTGGGTCTCTCCGAGTCTTCCGACTGGCGAGAGCCACCGCCCAAAAGTCCAAAAAACAATCACAGTTTGGCATCAAGTTGACTCACTTCTGCCCTAGGTACATGGCTGTGTTGATCCCGAAAAAAACACCACAAAATGGGAAACCCTCAAAAAAGACACACATGCTCTCTTTTTGACCAAGCCCTCACTTCCGTGTGTTCCTTTTTGGGGTCACTTTGTTTCTGGCTTGGAGGAGTGCCCTGAGGAGCAAATCACAAGACATGGTTTTCAGGTTCAACGGGGCCCACGGGTTTCGTGGGCGCTTCAGTCTGGCAGTCTGCTTAAAACGCACGGGACTGATTTGCACGGCTCGCAAATCTTCGGATCTGATGCCGGTGATATCGGGCAATACACGGGCTCGGTCAAAATCAGGTGACCGGCAAGAAGGGGCCGTTTGTCGGGGTACACCAAAACAAATGTGTTCAGATTCCATGTCATACTGTGGATGGACGAAATCCAGCACCACCTAAGAAACCCTGGAATGATGATTACCCTGGTAGATACCAACAAACAATGGTTCCCACGGGTTCTTTTTTGGTGCACGATTTCGTCCACCCACAGTGGGAGCCGAGCATGTTGATCCATTGCCGCGAACTCCTACGGGCAGTCGACTTCGAGCTAGGGGACGTTGACAGCTCACGCCGGGGTTACCTGCAACGCTGGATGGGCGGCCTGATTCGCCTTGCTCGAAAATATCGTTGGCAGCTTGACACAAGGAGATCCTGAAGGCTCTTTCCTGAACCCGAAACGACACGCTGCCAATCGTCTTGCCAGGTCCGTTTCAAAATGATCCTCCCATCATGATGGTTTAAACGGAAAGGGTCCATTAAACTGAAAACCTTTCGAAACTATCCTGTAATGATGGTTTAGAGGAAAACCAGCAGCCAGAGGTAGGTTTGAGAACTCGCTAAACAGGAAGGGATCGGATTTGGTGTGCGATTCGTTGGCCTCGATAGCAGGAGAAGCATGCCATTCATCGTAACTTCCGTGAGAGGTTCTCGCGTCCAAAAGCCTCAATCGTGCAAGCCACGATTAAAATATATGTGCTTGCCCCAATAGACGTGGAAAAGCCTTCGTTCCCTCTCCTTTGCGTTGGTTGTGTATTTTGACCAAACCTCGTGTCAAGGAATTGCCAGTTCAACAAAACAAGTCGTGTTGGCTGGTTCCAACTTACCCTAGGCTTGCAAAAAGTGGCCAGCAAGTGTACAGAAATCATATAGAAAGTTGTCCGCCCCATGTCCCCAGCCCCAGTTGAGACTGAGCAAATCAGGATATCTTGGCAGACCGTTATGTGAGCGATACCACCGGAAGCCAATGGTCGCCTGCCAAAACCGCTGCCTTCAACCAGTAAAAACCAAGCGCCCATCCAACAACCACACCCCAACAATATTGTCCGTTGCTCACATGAGTATGTGACAGTGTGAAACTAGGGGTAAAACAAAACAAAAACAACTGTTGTCCTTTTGGCTTCCGTTTAAAAGGCGAAGCGACCCCTTGAAAATTGCCAAGCAAAAAAACTTTTGGCAAAAAAAGGGGGTACCACCTCCAGAGAAGGACTGACTGACAGTATCATTGATTTGTTTGTGCAGTACACACTGGTGGGAAAACAACCTAGACCCTACTAACCCCCCCCCTCCAACCCCGCAACTCATATCCCAAGGCTTAACTGCTTGGGGGTCTTTGGGTGGAGGCTTCGTGGAACAAGTCGAAACTTCGACAGCGTTGATCTGTCGCTCGGCAACCCCGGTGGCTGCTTAGCTGCTTCTCCGTTGGGAGCGGCGCGCAGGGAAGGCAATGCAACCAGTTGAGTCACAATCACTTGGTTGCTGTTGACCCCCCTGCAAAAAGTGTTTCACTGTTTGGGGGTTTAGTGGCAAACGCCTCGATTTCCCACAAAGTTAAAGTCTAAAGATCCAACCCAATAGCAAGATCAAAGCCTGGTACAAAAATGGTCGACCCAGAACCATGTAAAGAACCAAGAAGGCGGCCGCTGCTATTTATGGCTGCGATCGTCCCTTGCTAACCTTCACTTCCCCGGGTTTTGATTGTGGCTCAGTTGAGCTGAGAATCGCATCACCGTTCATGATTCTCCAACGCAAATATCAACAAACAATGGTTTCAGCCATGGTTTCAACGTGGTGCATAATTTCATCCATCCAAAGTATGAATCCAAATCGCCTCATGATCTAGCCTCTTCTATTATTCAGCAATGGTGGCAATGGACGAACAGTTTTTGCGGGAAAATTATGTAACCATCATTCATGTATAAACCTCGTTATTAACCAGGTCCCTTAATTAATTGTGTAGCCATTCTGTAACCATCATTCTGAACCAGGTTGGTCACCAATGTACACCTGTACCTCAAAACTCCCTTTCAATCACCTTACCGCTGACCAACCTTCACAAGTTGATTTGGATTCAAAATGAGTTGGTAAAGTATTAGCAGCTTGCTCTTGGTAAAAGCCGTATATGGGTGTCTTTTTTAGGGTACCCCTTTTTTGGTGGTTGCAGGGAAACCAAAAGTGAAACACCTGTTTTTTGGGGAGTCCTCGAAAAAGTCAAACTCATATAGCTTCTACAGCTGTAAACCTCAATATGGGTCACACCACATTGGCTTCCGGGCTCCACTGGTTGCCCAATCCCCGACCGCTGAAGACAAGGGAACATGCGCGCCATGGTCAGATGGTGAGAGAAGAGAGACCTTCAGATGTCAACGTTGGCCGCCGCACTCTGGCTAAGGGCTGTTGCCCCAAGGGGTTGTTGACCCCGTATGAAAATCAACCCCTGTTTCTTCGTATGGAATGCTTTTCTGATTCTGGGTTTAGTGTGAAATAAGACCACTTTTGGAGGGGGACAACCCCCCATGAATACACTGGGGCTGATTAATATGGGGTCAACGTCAACATTAATAGGTTCATAGCTCCATGAAATAACCAACACAAATCGGCGGCTAAGTTGGTTGACGTTGATGACCATCCGAACCCCAAGACGCCAAATGGCCATGGCACAAATAACACGCTGATAACCAGCGAACCGAGCGATGGGCGCACGACCGCACCGCGCCAAATGTGACAGGAATGCTTGCGGCAAACTGAGACTCCGTAAAGAGTTCAGGCCTCTGTCGAAACTTGCTGCTACCCTGAACATGGGACACTTTGCGAGTCCCTGGATTCGTGGGAGAATGGAGGGCTCGTCCCCCCATGTTCCCCCCACTGAACCATAGACCACTGGTCCATACGAGCTTCTGCTGGGACTCCTTGGTAAGCAGAGCCAATCTGGATGTGTCTGTTGCGGATACCTCTTTTTTGTGATGTTACAGGAAACCAAAAGGAAAACCTCGAAGAAACGACGCACCGATCTTGACCCATCAAAATGAATCTGTGAATCCCCGACTTTCATGGCTCAAGAAAAGGGAACCGTGCGGTTTAGCACTTGTAGGTTATGAGCCCAACGCTGCTCGGGTAGGCCCCGCAATGGACCCTGGCATGAGGAGAAGGAGGGCCAGGTCGTTGGATGCGGGGGACGAGGGCATCATGGTCGCCGAGCCCAACGGAGAGGTCATCCCCGAGGAGGAGGTGATGGAGGGTGAGGCGGAGAGTGGTGGTCATGGGGGTGCGGTGCCGGTGAACCCGTTTTGGAGCGAGAAGGCAAGGGCGGAGGCGGAGCTGCAGGCGCTTCGGCCCAAGGACCTGCCGAGGGTTCCGGAGGGGGAGATGGCAGAAGCACACCGGGGAGAACCACATGGACACGATCGCGATCAAGAAGGGTGGCATAAAGCGGACACAAGGAGCAGCAGCAGGTCAGAGTTCTGGAGCGATGTGAAGCGGAGCTTGCAGGAGGACCTGGAAAGGGAGAACTGGCCAAAGGGCGAAGCGGAAAGGGGAGGAGGAAGCGGTAGCGATGGCCATCGTGGACATCCTGGAGGGTGGCCTCCTGAAGCTCGACATGGGGATCATCCAGGAGGGCATCGTGGGTGGGGTCGAGAACATGGTGGAGAACATCCTCGGGAGTATCCGGGACGGGGGCAAGCTGAACACCGTGTTCAAGGGGAAGGTCATCATTGGGGAGAATATGAAGGCAATCCTCGGGGAGAATATGAAGGGAGGCCCACAGAACGTGCTGAAGGGGGTCTTGCGGGTGCTCATGGAGGTAGACCGGCGAGCGTGGGGCCACATCCGGGAGACCGGGAAAGTGGTCAGGACGGTCGTGAAGGCAAAGGTGTTGGGCATCGCGGAAGACATGCTATCTATGGAAGGGGTTATGCTACTAGGGGAAGCACGGGGCATTCTCGAGAAAGGAAGGAAGAAGGTCGAACTGAAGCAGGTCGTGATCTTCCTGGTGATTCAGTTCCTGCCGGAGGCAAAGGTCCGGAACCTCGTCGTGATCTTCCTGGCGATTCAGTTCCTGCTGGAGGCAAAGGTCCGGAACCCCGAGAAGGTAAAGGACATGGGGCAAAGGACGGGAGAAGACCGCAGCCGAGGGAATTGGAGGTGACGAGGGATGAGGCAAGAGCGGCAACGAGAGCGGGGTTCAGGCCAATGGAGCTTCACATGGTTTGGAATCCGGCAACGAAGACGTGGATTCCAGAAGGACACCTACCAGCTGGCCTGCGATATGATGATGAGGAACTCGTGCCGGACTATAACGACGGCATGATCGACATTCAAGCGGCCATGGAGAAGCAACTCATGCTGGCGTGTCGGATGATTCGAGGCATGGAGCAAGAACGGGACCATCTCAAGGGGAAGATGGCGGAGCAGGGCGGATTGCTGGAGAGGAGGAACAGCACGATCAATCGGCTGTTGGAGCAGGTCCGGGAAACTCAGGGTCAACTGAGGGAAGCCCAGGACCAGTTGGCGGACTGGAGGTCATGGTGGGATCGCTGGGAGTGGGATGGAACCCGGTGGAGGAGAGTTGAGGAGGAAGAGGAGGAGATCTTCCAGACACCTGCAGAGCCGGGGAGAGGACATGGAAACGGGGAACGGCGAGATCGAACAAGATCCCCACAGCCACCCCCGTATCCTCCGAGGCCAAGGACGCCGCAACATCGAAGGACCCCAGGAGGGACGGAAGTCCCGAGGGGAACGCCACCCCGCTCTGAGAGAGGAAAGGGTGGTCTTCGTCTAGAAGGAGGAGGAGGTCACTCTAGAAGGGAGGAGCCGAGAGAAGGAGAGCTCTACACCTGGACCAAGGACTATGAGTCGGGGGGCCTGAAGATGGTACCGGCGCAGATGACCAGAAATGAGTGGGCGCTGACGTGGGAACGGGCAGATGCAATGGTGGATGAAGCTCCGGCACCGCCTCCAGGATTGGAGGCCAAGGCAGACTTGGACCCGGAAGTGGTGGTGAGCGAGAAGACTGGGGACATCAAGGGGATCTCGGATGTCTGGCCAGAGGATGTGAAGGCAATGCTAGCAGCGGGACAGTTTCGGGAAGAGGCGATCAGGGCTGCGGAGTTGCCAAAGCTGCCGGAATTGGGGGCAAAGGAAGCAGGGCCGCTGGCAGCGGGAGACTGGTTGGCGGAAATCAAGCCGATCATGATGGACCTCAGCACTAGCGCAGCGGTCTGGTGGGAACACATCATGAGCAATGCGGAGAGGGCCTATCAGAAATGGCTGGACATGCGGCCGGTGGATCGGCTGAATGTGGCGCCGGAGGAACCCGGGTGGCTGGGGAAGTACCCGTTTTCCCGGGTGGAGCAACGTGGCGCTGGTCTTCTACTCAGGGCGTTGCCTCAGGGACTGAGACAGGAGGTGGTGTCAAGAAGGACGTTGTCAGCGGCAGGCATGGTCTTCAAGGTGCTCACAATGTATCAGCCAGGGGGGCCAGCAGAGAGGCAGAGCCTCCTCAACTACCTGGTTGAGCCAAAGGTGAACGGGAACACGGTGCCGGCGGAGGTTTTGGCAGCAGTGCGGCAATGGCGGAGGTGGTACATTCGTACAATAGAGCTGAAGCTGGCGATGCCGGATCCCTCGCTGCTGCTGAGAGCGTTGGATAGCATGACCAACGGGATCGCAAAGGAAGGAAGTCAGGTCCATTTCAGGCTTAGTCTCTTGAGAAATAGCCTGGGGGTGGATGTCGCCCCGACGCAAGACAGCATCATCCAGCTGGCGGAGTTTATCCAAGCGGAGGTGGAAGTGATGGTGGCCTCAAAGGCGGACGAGAAGGTGGTGAAGGTCAAAAGCATGAAGCCGACAGAGCAGTCTGGGCAGCGCAGGGAGGGAGAGAAGAAGCTCTGCGTGTACTTTGCAGGAGAACGAGGATGCCGAATGGGCCGGAACTGCAATTATAGCCATGACTGGTCGGTGGTGGAGAAGAAGGCAGATCGGTGCTGGATCTGTGGGTCGCTACAGCACCGAAAGGGGGAATGCCCGGTGAAGCATGAGGCGGCCGGCAGGAATGGGTTCAGACAGCAGCAGGCGCAGGGCGAGTCGCAGCAGCAGAACAAGTCGCAGCAGCCAGTCAAGCCGAAGGTTGCAGCGGAAAAGGGGGTAGCAGAGGACGCAAAGGAGGCGTCTGGGTCCGGGGGAGCTGGACGGCAAGGCAAAAATGTTCAGGAGCTGCTGACGGAAGCGACAGGGCTGTTGAAATCGCTGAGCATAGTCAAGGTCATCAGAGTTCGGTCGGTGAAAGTGGAAGAGGAGTTCTATGGTCTGCTGGATGGAGGAGCCACCCATGCTCTTCGCCAAGCCAGAGAAGGGGAACTAAAGGGCAAAGAGGTGAAGGAGGTGACAGTGGAGCTGGCGGCGGGTACAGCACGGCTTTGGCAACACAAGAACACAAGGACGCTGCTGTCAGCGGAGAAGGTGGAGCCGATTGTACCACTGGCAGGTCTGGTGGAGATGGGCTATGGCATATCCTGGAATAACAAGGGATGTGTGGTGAAGCACCCGGTGAAGGGGGACATCAAGGTGGAGATGAAGAATGGGTGTCCAATGGTGCCGGGGAAGGAGGCGCTTCGACTCATCGGAGACCTGGAGCAGTTCCACTTGAACAGAGCGAAGATTTGCAGGTTGTCCTCGGCAGAATCAATGATGATGGAGAAGTGGAGGGCGAGATGGCCGGAGGTTCCGGTGGCGGTTTGGGAAATCATGGGAAGTGGCCTGGAGATGGTGGACATGAAGGGCGCCTTCAAACAGGACTTCCACAAGGTTCTTCCGTGGAACCGCAGGGCGAGGAGAAGGGTGGAACAGGCTCGTGGTGTGGTTCTGCACTTGTTCTCCGGAAAGGACCAGAGCTTTTGGCAGGATGCTGGTGAGGTGGTGCTTTGCCTGGATTTGCAGAAGGGCCAGGATGCTCTCAACCCGGCGGTGAAGGCCTATTTGTTCCAGCTCTGCATGGAGGGCAAGGTAACGGGAGTGGTCGGAGGACCGCCGTGCCGGTCGGTGTCAGTGTGCCGATATCAGCGTCCGGGGCCGGAACCGCTTCGGAGCCGTGGCGGAGGAGAGCGCTTCGGATTGAAGGGGCTAGCTGCGGAGGCACAGATGAAGACCCACCAGGATTCAGCGCTGTGGTTGTTGCCCATGGTGCTGTTTGAGGTGACAAGGAGCGTGAGGGAAGAGAGGGGCTGGACTGGCCCGGCCTTCGTGCAGGAGAATCCCCGAGATCCCGATGAGTGGCTAGGTGCGGGGGAGGCCGAAGGGAGGCTGAATACGCCGTCGGGGGGCTATGCTTCGTTTTGGGCGTGGCCGGAGACACAGGAGTTTGTGAAGAAGAATGGCATGGGCATGGCAAAGTTTGATCAAGGTCCTCTGGGGCATGAAAGGCGAAAACCCACCACGGTCATGACCAATGTGACGGAGGTTCTGGCACTTCATGGAAGATGTGGCCCGGGTGATGTGGTGGGAAGGAGCGGAAGCACGGAGGGACGGATCAAGGAATCGGCATCATGGGCGGCGTGGGCACCGGAGCTCAAGCAAGCGGTGAAGATGGGGCTTCAGCGGGTGAACCACGAGGTGATGGCGGAGATGAGGATCAAAGCGGCGAGGCTCCCGGCAAAAGAGGAACAATGGAGAAGGCATGTGGAGAACGAGCACGTACCACATCGACGAGACTGCCGGGTATGTATGGAGGCTGCGGGAAGAGCGGGGGGTCATCGAAGGATCCGGGCTCCCAACTCCTTCGTGATGTCGGTCGACATTCTGGGACCCACCAAGGAGGGTGTGGACCAGGATGGAGCCAAGGCGAGATATGCGGTGGTGACGGTCCTGACGGTTCCGGTGCGGAAGTCCACAGGGGAGCCACTGGTTGCTTTGGGAGAGGACGACATGGAAGTGGAGGATCAGGGAGAGGCTCTATGCGGCAGAGGGGATGAGGGTCGCGCTGATCCAGGACTTGCTGACGGGGGTGAACTACCGGAGGTGGACGCAGACCTGGAATGGGAGGAGGAGAACCGTGACCCAGCTCCGGGGGAGGAGGGCCGGGTGGAAGTAGAGAAGGCAGAAGAAGAAACGAGGAAATGGCACGAGCTGGTGAAGGACTTGGAAGATGTGGCGGTGAGCAATTTGACGTTCGCGGTGCCCATTAAGTCGAGAAACCGGGACGTGGTCATTCAAGCTGTGGCAGAGTGCTATAGCAGATACCGTGCGGCAGGACTGCAAGTGCTGCGGGTACACACCGACCGGGCTAGGGAGTTTACGTGCTCCGCGTTCCGAACTTGGGCAGCCGAGCGCGGCCTATGGAGGACGGTGACGGCGGGGGATGAACCCCAGGCTAATGGCAGGTGTGAAAGTGAAGTGGGGGTCATCAAGAACCGGACGAGGGTGCTGCTGGAGGCGACGAAGACGCCCAAGGAGCAGTGGCCGTTGGCGGTACGCCATGCAGCGGAAGCCAGGTGGAGGAGTCAGTTAAGGGCGCTGGGAGTGCCGATGATTTCGCTGGTGCCGTTTGGTTCGAAGGCGATGGTCAAGGTGAAGAGATGGAGAAAGCAGCACAAGGACTGGCCGCATAAGTTTGAGCCCGTCAGAGTCTGGGGCCCTTCAAAGGACATGGCGCAGGGGTACTATGTGGAGTGCGAGGATGGATGTTTTGTTCGAGCCTCCGCTGTGGTGGTCACTGTGTCCGAGCAGGTTGTTAAGGAAGAGCAGCAGATTCGGCGTCGCCTTCGAGGAAAGCAGCCGGATCCGGCCAGAGTGGCCGGGGGGGAGCTGGGAGGTGTGGCGAATGTTGCGGTGGATGAGGCGGTAATCCCAGGCAGGGTGGCGAAGATTGCGGAGATGATCGTGGGGATAGCGAAATCCCCGACTTCCCGAGCGCCTAATGCAGGGGTTGGGTGGCTCACACCCCTGAGCCGGGAAGATGAGGGGTGCGAGAACCTGAAGGAGTGGGAGGAGGAGCTTGTCAAATGGCATGGAAATTTGAAAAGAGTGTGGTATGAGGAGAAGGAGCTCCTTGGAGGTGAGGCGATGGAATCCTGGCAGTTGGAGTGGGTGAAGAATATCGCGAAGGACGTGAACCTGTTGGAGGAGATGCTGAAGGACTTCGAAGGGGAAGAAAGAAGGCAGCTGAAGGCGGTGCAGAAGCTAGAAGAAGAAGAGTTTCTGCAGACAAAGACAATCCCGTTGGAGGTGGTGAAGGAGGAGCTTGAGCTCTGGAAAGAAGCGATGGCAGAGGAGTATGCATCGCTAACGGTGGAGACCCAGGCAATCAAGCCGTTGTCGTCAGCCGAAGCAGAGGAGCTTGTGAAGCACGCGGAGGTGGAGATAGCGACGGGGAAGGGAGTATTCACCCGCAAGGCTGGGTCGGGGCGGAGGAAGGTTCGAGCAGTGGTTTGTGGGAACCAGCTGATTGCGAAGGAGACCAAAGAGGAGGTGTTTGCGGGGGGCGTGGACAGTATAGCCTTGAGAGCGACCCTCCGAAAAGCAGCCTATGAGGAGTGGAAGGTGGGGACCGTGGACGTGAAAACCGCGTTTCTCCAAGCGCCGAATCGGAGGCAGAGACTGTTGATAGTAACTCCGCCGAAGGTGTTTGGACAGGCTGGTATTACCGAGCCAAATGAGCGGTGGTTGGTCCTCAAAGCGCTCTACGGCTTGAACACTAGTCCAAAGGACTGGGGATGCCATCGTGACGAAACAATGAAGGAGTTCAGATGGCGGGTGAGCGGGAAGGAGTACAAGATGGACTTGCTGGAGGGGAACCTGTGGGCCATCGAGGAGGTAGAAGGGAGAAAGATTGTGGGAAACATCGTGGTGTATGTTGACGACATGTTGGTCGCGGCGGAGGACACGGTGATGAAGGGCTTCATGGATCGGCTTCAGCAGGAATGGAAAACGTCGCCTCCGGAAATGGTCAATGGAAAGGAGCCGGTCGTCTTCTGCGGAGTGGAGATCTGTGAAAGAGAAGGTGGTTTCTGGCTGGGCCAATCGGCGTACATTCGGGATTTGGTGGAGAGACATCCAGATGTGAAGAATGTGGACGTCCCGGCGGGGAAGATGGAGCTGTCGGAGGAGCCGGAAGAGGATAGAACTCCGGAGGAGGTGAAAGAAGCACAAGTGGCGCTAGGGGAACTTCTGTGGGTGTCGACAAGGACGCGACCGGATGTGGCGTTCGCAGTTGGCCAGGCATCAAGAATGGTGGCGAAGTACCCGAAGAAGGCACTCAGCGTGGCGAAGCAGATCCTGGGCTATTTGAAGAACACGGACGATGTGGGCATCATCTACCAGAAGAGGATGGAGCCACGGGAGGAAGAGGCGGAGTTTCCAGGCCCTCGGAGCATGGGAACGTTGGAGATACAGGCGGATGTGAGCTTCGCGCCAGGAGGTGGAAGATCAATCCAAGGGGTGATGGTTCTGTATGGAGGCGGAATCATTGCTTGGGAATCAACAAGGCAAGCCTTTACAACGTTGTCTACAGCAGAGGCAGAATTGACGGGCTACGTGCAGGCGACGGCGATCGGAGAGGCAGTGGCAACGCTGGTGGAGCTGCTGGAAGGGTCAAAGGTCAAGAAGATGATCTTGGGTGACAACGCGGCAGCAATCAGCATTATCACAACGCCGGCGTGCGCATGGCGGTCAAGGCACTTGAGATGTCGGGCTGGAAGGTTGGCAGAGCTGATAGAGGAGGAGGAGTGGAGGTTGAGGCATCTGCCGGGGACTTTGTTGGCGGCGGATGGATTGACCAAACCGTTGGCAAAGATCCAGTTCGAGAAGTGCAGAGGAGGAATGGGCTTGGAGGTGAGAGAGAGGAAGAAGGTCAAGAAGGCGTTCGGGGAGAAGGTCATCGAGAAGGTTGGAGCAGCAGGGTGGCTCGCGGTGGATAAGTTGAAGGCTGTCGTGGGCATGCTGAGTTTGGTGGCGGTGGCAAAGGCTGAAGATGGGGAGGAGCCGGAACTGGAAGGGGTGTCGCTGGAGGTTATCCTGACGGTGATTGCCATTTTGGTGGTAGTGATCTGGGAACTCACCAAGAAGGCGTGCGGTGTGGGAATGAAGAAATTGAAAAGACCGGTGGAAGACCCCGATAAAGAACTGGCAAGACCGCATGAAGAGGCCAAGAGCCCACCGAAAGAGACAGCGGAAGGCGGCTCCGTGGACATCAATGTTGCTAACAGAAAGAAGGGGCAAGGTGTTGGTGTTGACAGAGCTACCGGCAGCTCAAGAGACAAGGACTTGGGGACGGACAGGACAGGGACTGGAACTAGGCCCTGGACGGGCATGACTTTGCCTAAGCAGGCACCCAAATCCTTGAAGGCGATCCGACCTCAGGCAAAGGCCTCGAGGGACGATCTGGTAGTGGTATGCCATGTGCGAGATGGGACTGGAGGTCGGGTCCCAGTGAGGGCAACAAGGGCGGTGCTGGGGACGGAGAGGATGGAGTACTACCGCGAGATGGAAAGGAAGTCGGAAGAGCGGTGGGAGTTCCTTCAAGCTCGTGCTCGAGGTGAACCTCTTGGGGGTCTTCAAGGGAGCCTGTGGAGGGCCGATGAGCATTTGCGAGGAGGTCCCATCGAGGTGGTGGGGACGGAGAGCCAACCGCCTGGGCAGAGTTCGGGTGAAGAAGGGTCTGCGGAGCCAAGCAAGGACATCAAAGAAGAGGAGACTCAGCCGCGGGGGAGCTCATGCACGGCAAGAGCAGCGGCGGCTGGGAAGGTGGTGCTTGGCGAGGACAAGGAGTGAAGACCGCACGGTCTGGAGGCCGGAAGGCCGTTTACGTTTGTGGGTGCAATAGACACCCAGGGGGAGTGTGAATCCCCGACTTTCATGGCTCAAGAAAAGGGAACCGTGCGGTTTAGCACTTGTAGAATCAAACTATCGTCGAGTCCCACAATTGTGTCAGAACAGTGCTTGCCATGCTTCGTGCTTGGCTTGCTTTCTTTATTCTTGGAGAAGTAGGCACAGGGAACCTTCTTTGGGATCATTTAGGATCCATTCAAAAAAATAACCCACACAAAATGCCAAGAAAACAAAGGATAGAGCCGCCCATATTTGGATTGGGTGGCAAACCATTCCACATAACCCCCTCCTACCACTGGAATCACTTCTTGGAAGACTGCCTTATCAAAAAGGGGTGTATCCAAACGCAGTAATTACCTCCTTTCTTGTCTCAGCTGCCCAAAGTATCCTGAAATAAAAGGCGAACCTTGTGGCACCCAAAATAGGAAAATGTAAAGGTCCAAAGGCCGGCTTGGGGCAAGCATTCGAGTTGTCGGTTCCAAGGGAAAATAAAAAGAGAACGGCAGGAAATTTTGACATGGGGACCCTGTAGTAGACATCATTCTTCCATGCACCAAGCTCCTTTTGGACCCAACCGAACTGTTCGGAAGCCAAAGTGAGAAGCATCCGCTGGTTTCTGTACTCATCACCAAAATGAACCTACCGGACTTCTCGTTTTGACCTTCAAGTTCCACTTGAGACCAACCAGCCCGCAAAGGATTTCCACTCGAAAGCTCTTGACGGGCACATGGCCGTCCGACTCACTCGTGAGCCTCGCGAGACGAACGAGCCCTTGTTGAACCCGGCTCAAGACCATACCACACTTGCCCTGAGCTAGAGGAATCTCCGTGCCCATTCGCTAGGGGCTCCATTCTTTAAACCAATGCTACTTCGGTGGCATGAATTCTTTACTTGGAAGTTGCCTGTTGGGGATGTGGTTTTGGGGTCTTGAAGAAACCATGAACATCAATGAAGGCCCTTTTGAGATCCGGCAAGACAGCTTCCGGAAGGCAATTGCTGGCAGAATGCAATTGGAATAACATCATGTCAATCTCAATATTCCCTCGATCCTACTGTTTCCCTTCCCCCCCCCCTCGTTCCCGAAGCCGCTTTGGAAGATATGCGGCATTGAACATCGTAGAAGTTCTCTGTTAAGGGCAGAGGCAAATCCTATGTTGGTCGAAACGCCCGCATTTGCCTCACAACACAAAGTGGCAATCGCAATATACGTGTGTGTGTGTGTGTATGTATGTATGTATGTATGTATGTATGTATGTATGTATGTATGTATGTATGTGTGTGTATGTGTGTATGTGTGTATATGTGTGTGTATGTGTGTGTATGTGTGTGTATGTGTGTGTATGTGGGTGTGTATGTGTGTGTGTATGTGTGTGTATGTGTGTATGTACGTATGTACGTACGTACGTATGTATGTATGTATGCATGTATGTATGTGGGTATGCGTGTATGTGTGTATGTATGTATAAATGTATGTATGTATGTATGTATGTATGTATGTATGTATGAGTGTGTATGTATGAGTGTGTATGTGTGTATGTGTGTATGTGTGTATGTGTGTACGTATGTATGTATGTATGTATGTATGTATGTATGTATGTATGTATGTATGTATGTATGCATGTATTTATGTGTTTGTGTATGTGTGTTTATGTATTTGTGTATTTATGTACGTACGTACGTATGTATATGTATATATGTATATATGTATATATGTATATATGTATATATGCATATATGTATATATGTATATATGTATGTATATATATATATGTACATATGTATATATGTATATATGTAGATATGTACATATGTATGTATGTATGTGTGTGTGTGTCTGTATGTCTGTCTGTCTGTCTCTGTCTCTGTCTCTGTCTCTGTCTCTGTCTCTGTCTCTGTCTCTGTCTCTGTCTCTGTCTGTCTGTTTGTCTGCCTGCCTGTCTGTCTGTTTGTCTGTCTGTCTCTGTCTCTGTCTCTGTCGCTGTCTCTGTCTCTGTCTGTCTGTTTGTCTGCCTGCTCTGTCTGTCTGTCTCTGTCTCTGTCTCTGTCTCTGTCTCTGTCTCTGTCTCTGTCTCTGTCTCTGTCTCTGTCTCTGTCTCTGTCTCTGTCTCTGTCTCTGTCTCTGTCTCTGTCTCTGTCTCTGTCTGTCTCTCTCTCTCTCTCTCTGTCTGTCTGTCTGTCTGTATGTATGAACGTACATACGTACATACACACGTATGTATGAATGTATGAATGTATGAATGTATGAATGTATGAATGTATGAATGTATGAATGAATGTATGAATGTATGAATGTATGAATGTATGAATGTATGAATGTATGAATGTATGTATGTATGTATGTACGTATGTGTTTGTGTATGCGTGTGTTTATGTATTTATGTATTTTTGCATTTATGTACGTACGTACGTATGTATATATGTATATATGTATATATGTATATATGTATATATATATATGTATATGTATATATATATATATATATATGTATGTATGTATGTATGTATGTATGTGTGTGTGTGTGTCTGTATGTCTGTCTGTCTGTCTGTCGGTCGGTCTGTGTCTCTGTCTCTGTCTCTGTCTCTGTCTCTGTCTCTGTATCTGTGTCTGTGTGTATGTGTATGTGTGTGCGCGTGTGTTTTTGTTTATGTATGTGTGTGTGTGCGGATGTATGTATGCATGCATGTATGTATGCACGTACGTATGTATGTACATGTATATGCACATGCATGAGCATACTCTCCTCTTCATATGTTGTTGTCCTATGCATGTGGCAATAAAATGGTCTCCGTTCTTTGTCCAACATGGGCGTGGGTTCAGCGGGCATTGTCCAGAAAGTTGTTGTCTACTGCCACAAGAGGTAAGAGGCATATTTGCGAGGCATGGCAACCTTCCCTTCAAAGCCCACAAGAGCTGATTGAAAGCAAACCTCAGACAATGAAGTTGAGAGATAGGGTCTCAATTTGCAGGGGGAAGAAGAAAAAATGTTGGATCATCAATTTAAAGAGGGACTGCCCTCTTGCAGGTTAGACCCCCACCCACCCCCCACCACCCCCCACCACCGCCCACCCCCCACCCCCCACCCCCCACCCCCCACACCCCCCCCCCCCACCACCACCCGTCGCCGTGACACCCCACGCACGCGGAGCGCCTACGAGCCCATCAGCAAGTCCTCCGCACTGGGCTGCATGGTCACCTGATCTGTGTGCAAAGGGTGGAGGTTTCTGCCGTATGGCCATGGGTCAAAATCCAAATCGTACCCCCAGTGAACATCCCAATCCCCACTAAAAATTAGACTAAAATGGGTGGTGCACCTACCCCAAAATGGTACCATTGGTTTTGACCCACAGCCGTATGGGTCTGGTCGTTCTTGAGTTACCGTCTTTAGGGGGGTTGGTTCTTTAAGGGGAAACGAAAAGGACAACCGCCATGTTGGTTTTGGTGGCTTTTGTTTGACACCCGTTTTGCAAGGGAACAAGGGACACCCTCTGTTTGTTCCGTATTCTGCTATAGTTATGTGGCTATCTGGCTGAGTGCGGTTTACTTTCAATACTTAGGGCACTGTACCTCAGCTTCTGCACCCGGAAAACATGTGCCGTTCATTCTACCCATATCTAGTGAGCCGCATGTACATGTCTTTTCGCGTCCCGAACAAGGGATCCACCAGTGGGCTCCCGAGTGAGGCTGAGCCATCGTTTTGGCGAACTGATTCGACACCGGGGTTCGACAAAGGAGGATTTTTTCCAAAGGGGACTCTTGACATAGATGACCTTTAAAACACAAATGGCCCGGGTAAATAGGGCAAGCAACATCTCAACCAGTGCCATGTCTAACCAAACTAACCCCCCGGAAAAAAAAAACAACAAAAAAACTCAGGCGATATCCCCAACAGCACCACGCCCTCCCACCCAGAATCCTCGCGGAAGCCGCCCCGGAACCCACCTCGCCGCCGGTTTTGCTGAGGATGCAGCCTTGTAGCTAGACAGCGCAATTGCGCTGCAATCAGGGCCCGATCGGGGCCCGACGGTGCAATCGCCGATCGGGGTCTGACGGTGCTGATCGGGGCCTACGGTGCAAGCAGACCCCGACCGGGGCCCAATGGTCCCGTGGCGCAAGCGGGCTCCTGCCAACCTCAGCTACTCACACTATAGCTCAACGCTGATTTTTCTTAGGATGCGGCCTTGCAACCGTATCTAGCAAAACTAGGCGATGCCAGCTTGGTACAGTTGACGGCGCAACCGGGCGAACGGCGCAATCGGGCCACGACGGCGAGGGCCCCGACCTGGGCCGGTGAAACTCGCAAACCCTCCTCGTGGAACTCCGCGTGGGGCCTTGTTGGAACCCTTCCTCAGGGCTGCCCCGTTGCTTTTGCAGAACTTGGTGGAAACCTCGTGGAGCGTTTTTGGAACCTTACCCCATAGCCCTCGCAGGCCTCGTGGAACCCTTGGAACCCAAAGCCCACCAAGTAATACTCAGTAATGCCCAAGCATTTACCCTGCTGCACAGTGAGTCCCGCAACAACGTGATCCAACATTTCGGGCCGCGTTGTCTGAGCAAGTGAGCAAGTCAAAACAGTGAAAGTGTGCTGAAAACCATTGATTTCGGCTTTGCTTAGTGTTCCGCCCATGAGCAAAGCGATCTGCTGAGCCTTCTGGAACCCTTGTGGAATGTTTGTGGAATGCTTGTGGAACTCTGTGGAACCCTGTGGAACCTTACCTCAGGACCACCCCGGACCATCCGCAGCCCTTGCAGAACCTCGTGCAACCCTGGTGGAACTTTGGTGCCCCGGACCACCCGGCAGCCCTCACAGAACCTCGTGGAAATCTGGTGGAAGCCTGGTGGAACCCCGGTACCCTGGTCGAACCCTGGTGGAACGCTGGTGGAACGCTGGTGGAACGCTGGTGGACCCTATGTGCAACCCTCGCAGCTGGTGGAACCCTGGTG